TGGCCATGATAAAGTTTGCTAAGGATAATGGAATGGCGGGGAAAAAATATGAATTATCCTAAGGAAGACGAAAGCAATGAAGACCCTCTATCCATCTCAAAAATCAAAATGAAAGATGAGGAGGATCAACTAGGGAAGCAATAATTTTATAAAAAATTAAGAAAATCAAAGGCATTTAGTGGTGTGTGGAATAGGAGAAACGCTCGGGTGATGCTCCTTAATGGTCCATCTAAGGAGAAACGCTCAGGTGTATGTGTCTTGGTTAGTGGAATGTTTTTTAGGTTTGCTCATCATTCATAAAAATTATTTTTACCCCTTCACTTAATATTAGCAGGAGAGAGATTCGAAAATTGTGGATGCCTTTTCCTATATGGTTGCCTAATCTATTTAGTTGGTTAGAAATAAAATATCTTCCAAAAAAAGGCCTCTACAGTGAATAATATTTGTGAATTGATCAAAATCAAGCTTGTTTGGTGGCTTAAATCCCTTCATAGTGACTTTACTCGTCTTTACATCACTTAACTCTTCTTATTCATGGAAAACATCAGAACTTATAAATCTACTCATGATATATCCAAATTTGGTGATTGAGCTTCTTCATAAAAAAGATTAATCAAATTTAAAAGGGACATTTCAGTTTGGGAAAAATCAGGCACCACTAGCATTAGTGGTGTTTTAAGAGATAATGTTGGTCGAATTGTTTGCATCCTATATATAAATGTGAGCACTGTGGATTTAATCATGTTGAGTTCCTCGCTATTGAGAAAGCTATCATGATAGTGGCGTCTAGTCCTAATGTTAGTGAGATAAAACTAATGATGGAAAGTGAGTCACAGGTGGATGTTTGCTGGACTTCTAGTAAAAACATGCTTTGGAAGTTGCTTATGGAGTCTAACAAAATGAGAAATGTCATGGAGAAACTCAGTTACGTAAAAATTATATGTATTAATAAGTAGAAAAATTTATTTGCAGATTCTTTGGCTAGGCTAGTTGCGGGATGAGAGACTAATTTGCGTGTTTGGATATGACCTGCATGTGTTGTTCTTTCTAGTTGTGTTTGTAGCAACTCTATTTTGTTGGCAATTTTTGGGTGGTGCTACTTTTGGCCCATATTCGTTACTTGGCTATTCTAGTGTTTGTTTTGTGCTCCTAATATTGTTGGTATTCTTTGTACTTGTTTTTGTGCTTTTTGTTATGTGCATGGACTGTTGGGTTCATGATATTCTAATGGATGGTTATGGTGTTCTAGTGTGCAATTTGTTGTGCTTTCTTCTTGTTTTATATTTATTTTCTTAGGTTTTTTAGAAATATATATTAACATGCACTTTAAATTATTATACTATATTAAATTAGTTTTTATATTAATAGATATTTTTGTTAGAATAAATATTATCTAAGAGCATTTTTTGATGTTATCTTAAATAAATATGAGGAATCCTTTATTGCACGTAAATATGTCACATTAATTTACATATGTTATTTAAATTCAGTGTAATCGATACATATAGTATATATACGTGTGTATGTGTGTGTGAACATATACGGACAAATATGTATCATTGGAGTTAAAAGGCTGGTGATGAGAAAGAAGCCAAAAGAAAAAAGAAGAAGAAAAGACAAAGAGAGTATGAACAAACCAATCTTTGTTCCTTTTCGTTAGAGCAAAATATGTAGAAACAACTTACTAGAAAATGATCTTTTTCTAAATTTAAATTATACAAGTCATAGTAATCTCAATTCGAAAGTATTAACTAGTTATTTTTTCTTTTATTTTATCTTTTTGACTCTTTCTTTACGATCCCACGACGTGAATTTGCGGGTTAATTAATAAGAGAAAGAAAAATTAATTAATTAACTATGATTTTAATTCCCTTTTTCTTGATTCAACACATCAACTATGGCTCCCATATAAGTGGCAAAACACCATATCGCCATGCTAATCGATCAAATTGTTGCTAACAAACAATTCTGAACAGAAGAATCCATCGATATAATATATATACATATATATTATTTATGAAAGAAGAAAAATCTAATAGTTTCAAATGTGGGGTATGTGTGCTAGCGTGGTTCATGGAGATGAGTGAATCGAGAGTTCAGGCATGTTAGATTCGGGATGACATGAGCCAAAACAAAGTACAAAAACAAAATTGTAGCTCACGTACGCATGGCCATTTCCATGTTATGGTCAATACTTTTTTGACATGAATGCTGGAAAGGTAAAGTAAAAATTGCCTTTTCTTCTTCTTGTACCAGAAAGGAAACATGAAAAACCTCACAACTTTTTTCACCTCTCTTCATCTTTTAATCTCTACTACGCCAGTACCAGTAGAACCATTAATACACAAAGTACTCTGTCTTTGAATTCTTTAGTCGACATTTTACCTTTGACCCCTTCCTTTAACTCTTCATTTTTTGATTCCACAATATATCTATCTATGCTGATGCGCGAGTCTTCATCTCTTATACTGTTACTTTTGTCCAAAAATCTGTTTTATATAACTTTTCATTATTATATCTTCTAGAAATATGTAGAATATTTCTTTTTCTTTTTCATTTTCATTACTATATAACATTTATAGGCATTATGGGCAGCTAAAATATTTTGAATGTTTTCAAATGCCATGCTATTTATGCACATTCTGAATATTCAATATGTTTTTTTTTCCATGTTTCGACATTTTTTATTCCTACCAACTTGTTCATATTTATGTCTTTTAAAATTTTAAAGAATTTTTGTATTAACGAGAAATAATTTTTCAAAAAAAAAAAAAACTAAATAATTTATTTGAAGACAACATTACCGTTTTATATAATAATTTTAAAAGTTACTTTATCACCTTTTGGTAACCCAACATTTTCAGGAATCAAACGTTACTGTTCATACTTCACACCTTGAATCAACGAAGCATAAAAATACAACATTTCCGTACTCTATTCCAAAGAATTTGCTATGGAATCTAATTGAACCAAACACTTGCTCCAGTTCCATGTTTTCTTGGACACCTTTTAAGATGATAATGGGTGAGAATATTATATATATATATTTAAAGCAATACGTAAATAAAATATTAAGGGACTAAGTCAAACATCTTTATCCAATCAAAACCTTTGATACTAAAAAAACAAAGGGTAACTACGTAGCCCAAGCCCAAAACATAGCTGAGAGAAACATAGTGACGAAGCCCACCCCACAACCTCACTGTTTCCTTACAACTCTTCTGTAGAAATATTTTCCCTTGAACACTTACACGCCTTTAATTTGGTAGAATTTTTTTTTTTTTTAATAAAGTTTTCATCTTTTTTTTTTTTTGGTCTTGTTTTATTTTTATGTTTAATTTTTAAGATTAGAAAATGGTATTTCATAAATAAAAATTTTAGAATTTTTTTTTTTTTTTAAAGAAGAATCAGTTTTATAAATCAAACTGGTGGATATTTGTATTTTCCAAGTCAAGGGCTTAAAATGAGGAACATCCTCCTAAATAAAAATGAAGTTTCCCTAATTAAGACATGAGTAACTTAATTATAGTTCCTAGAAAATCAACTAAAATATTATTTTTAAAAAAAAAAATAAATTAAATCTTCCCTTTGAAAACAAGATGAAAATTCTCTTATATATAATTATTTACAGACCATAAAATATCAACGATTTTATGTCATCCCATGAAGACCATCTTGCCCAAATGTTCTCTAAGAATGTATTTTAGATTACAAAAATTTACATATATAACTTAATTGAATTTGATAAATTTCTTTACTTCCGAACTCGAACTCAATTTGATTTGGAGTATTTGACTCAATAAAACACAATTGGGTTTTTTTTTTAAACGAAAAAATTGAGATGAATCATGGTAGATTAGTTTGGGTTTACCAAGTCATAATTTTATTTGTAAATTCACAATGTTAAGATTAAAATTACAATATATATTTAAATACTTTAAACAAAAAATTAATGTTAAACGTTTAGAGATTTAAAAGGTTAATCAAAGAACAAATTATTTTGAATTCCTAAGTGACACTTGTATTTACAGGTTTTAATAATATTTATAATTACTACTGAAATTTTTTTTTAAAAAATAGCCTAATGTAAAAATCATATGTATAATTAAGGCACCCGAAATGAATATGCTTTTTCGATCTAACTGACAGCCAATTAGAAGGCAGGAAATTGGCACGAAACGAAGAGGCAGAAAACAGCTGGATCTGGAGAGAGAAGATCCAACGTGGCAAACAGGCATTATCCACGACCCCAACGCGCGCCTGCAATAGCGGGTGGCTGTAGCCGTCGTCGAACGAAGCCGTGCAATGAGGAAACAGAAAGGGTTAAAGGTAAGGCAAGTGAATCGAGAGAGATGGGGTTAGTAGCCTTTGAGACCCTCGAAAAGCCAAGAACAAATCATACGCGGCGTGAGGTGTGCGTGTGCACGCTCACAAGATTCTTCTCTCACCTCCACCACCCTCGTGATTCCTCACCCGCCTAGGGTATATTCCAAATTCTCCCAACCACGATAAAACCTGGGCTACAATTGCATAAGCCCGGTCCCATTTTACTCATCGTGAGCCCACTTTCTCATTTGGTTTAAAAAAAAAAAAAAGCAGTTGGGGGTCAAAACTAACAATGCCCGTGTATTTTATTTTACCAAGTGGATTAATAAAAGAAAGGGATAATGATAACACACGAGCCCCCCAAATCCAAAATTGAAAGAGATCAGATCAGGGTGAATCAGATTGAGAATCCGGTAGAAAATTAAAGGATTTCAGAAAATCCGCAATGAGAAGGAACGCAGAGAATCATTGGGAAGGATCAAAGTTAAAAAAGGTTTTTTAGTAATAATAACACGTGTCAGTATAAAGATAGAGAAAGAGTTTTTGATCTTATCTGAACAACATACGATATAATTGAGAGAGGTGACGTCATTGCCAGCCCACAGAGAAGCGACGAAAAGCGAATCACTCCCTCGAATATTCAAACACGTCTCTCTCTCTCTCTCTCTCTCTCTCCCTACTATTCTCCTTTTAAATCCGCAAAGCCCATCTCCTTCTCTCTCTAAACCCATCAAAGATTCGTTTCGTTACGCGACGCCCCGACTTCGGTCTTTTTCTTTCCTCCTTTCTTCTTCCCCATCTCACCAATCCTGTTTCGATTTATTTTTCTATTTCTTGGTTGTCAAGTTTATTCCGTTTTCTGATTCTATTTAGATCCCATATTCTGCCATTTCTCCATTCTCCGGATCTATCTATGCTTGGACCCAGACACACCTATTTACATATAAACACCCACCAAGATTACTGTAACAAATCTCCATTTCTCAAGACTGATAAGGTGGATAAACACCGGGAATTTTGCCTGGGTATCTAGTCAAACATGGATTACGCTACCAAAATGCAGAGATGTCATGAGTATGTTGACGCCTTAGAGGAAGAGCGACGCAAGATTCAGGTCTTCCAACGCGAGCTTCCGTTGTGTTTAGAGCTTGTCACTCAAGGTATATTAACTTTCCATGCACTGGTTTTTCTCTTTTTCTTCTGGGTTTTATGGGCGGGTGGTTTTGTTTTCTTTTTTTTTTTTTTTGGATTTGGTTGATTTTGGAGGATGATGATGGGAATTTGGGGTGAGTGCAGCAATTGAGACTTGCAAGAAGGAGATATCCGGTACGACGGCCGACTACATGCACGTCCAATCAGAGTGCTCGGAGCAGACCATGAGTGAGGTTGGTCCTCCCGTCTTGGAGGAATTCATTCCCATCAAAAGGACTTCCTCTCCCGATGAAGACGAGCAGGAATCGCACAAGGCCAGCACCAACACTAACACCGATAAGAAGAAATCTGACTGGCTTAGATCTGTTCAGTTGTGGAATCAATCCCCAGATCCACCCCCGAAAAAGGTGCCTACCCCTTCATTGTTGGGTTGCTTGGAAAATCCAACCATATTTTTTTAAGCAGGAAATTTATGAGTTGCAGCAAACGGGTTCTGATTTCATTTCCTTAACTTGTACAGGATGTGCCTAAGAAGACGACGACGGCGGACCAGGTGAAGATAAACGGAGGCGCTTTTCAGCCGTTTACCAAAGACCAACCCACCGAAAACTGTACTAGCAATAAACAACCGGCGGGAAAATCAAACAATATCTCGGTGCCGGCAGCAGCGACGAGTTCAACGGACGAGAAGACTGGCGGCAAGAGGGAAGAGAAGGAAGGTCAGCAGACCCAGAGGAAGCAAAGACGGTGTTGGTCGCCGGAGTTGCATAGACGCTTTCTGCATGCTCTTCAACAGCTTGGCGGATCACATAGTAAGAGCCCGTTAACAAAATTAAAAAAAAAAAAAAAACACAAACAAAGCTTGCTTATCTTTGGCTTGCCGGCTTTTGATTGCCATTTTATGGGTTTAAAATTGGATTTTAAAACAATGTGTTTCCTTGAATTGTGTTGCAGCTGCTACACCCAAGCAAATCAGAGAGCTAATGAAGGTTGATGGACTTACTAATGATGAAGTGAAAAGCCATTTACAGGTTGGTGCTTCCAAATATTTCTGGGTCATTCATATAATTTAAAACATTGTAATCAGATTGTTGCTTGCTTATATATATATATATATATATATATAGATATATTACCAGAAGGCAGAAAGTGTTATAAAATTAGCCTTTTCAGGAGGAATGTTTGTCCTAAGACATCAAACACAGGATTTATTTATCATTATGTATGAATTCTGACCATTACTATTCAAATTCAACCTGTTTATCCTATCCTATATGATTAACAAGCAGTGGTAGTCCCATTAGGATGCATTTGATTTCAAACAAAACCGACTCAAGACTAATTCGGTTTCCCCTGGATTTGTGACAGAAATATCGATTGCACACAAGGAGACCAACCCAAAATGTCCAAACCAATGGCAATTCACAAGCACCTCAATTCGTGGTGGTAGGCGGCATATGGGTGCCACCTCAGGAATACGCAACGATAACTGCCGCAACAGCGCCGGCATCAGGGGAAGGCTGCAATGGAATCTATGCGCCGGTTCCGGTGGCAGCTCTACCAACTCCGGCGAAAGAGAGACCGCAGCAGACACAGTCACACCGCATGCAATCAGAAGAAAGAGGGTGCAGCCATAGTGAGGGAAGAGTTCACTCAAGCTCTCCGTCCACGTCTTCCTCAACACACACCACCACAGCTTCCCCTGTGTTTTAGTTCTTTGATAGAATGAGACGCAGGCTCTTCTTGTACAATTTTTTTAACAGATAGTGAAAAGTTGAGATAGACATCATTTCCCATTTTTTTTTCTTTTTTTGGTGCCCTTATGTTTGTGTAATTTGAGTGTAAAATTGAGATTTGGACAATACTGGAAGTGACAGTCCAGATTTTGAAATAAGAGGTAGAGTTCGCAGAAACTAGACTGTTGATAAGGCAAAATAAACTGTATCCGTTATCATGAAATCAGACTACCAAACTAGGGTTTTAACCAGTTGGGAATTCATTCTAATCAAGAAGTTTCATTTGGTTAATTTCAAGACCAGTTTTATGATATAGGTTCCAAGTCCGAATAGCTTTTTCTGGGCTGAACTAATGATTTCGTCTCAGCCTTGAGCTGAAACTCATCCGGCTGATGATGATGATGGAGGGCAGTGATCTAAATGGAGGTGTTTGGTGGCCAAGAAAGTTGATCCTTACATACAGTTGACGGATATGGATAGACATGAATATATGATAATGTAGCAGTGGGAACCCACCGTTTCGCTGTCAAAGAAGATATGGTGAATCTTAGTAATTACTTGTTTTTGAAGGCAAATTAAACTTCAAAGCTCATAAATAATTTACGAGGAGGGTCATAATAATAATTATATTTTCTTTCTTTTTTTCTTGAGTATTGATCAGAGTTAGCGTAATTATCTTGACCCATGACATATCTTGCAGCTCAAGAAAATATTATTTATAATCAATCTCTTCTGCCTAAAAAATCTTCCCTCTTATGGAAGGAACATGTGATTGCATATCCTGGAAACTGGTCAAGATAATTAAGTTGCTTGGAAGCCAGTTAATTATAACGCCCGACAACAACTTTGAAATGTGAAATCATTTGATTCTTCTTCTTCTACTTCTTTCTTATTCTTCTTCTTTCACACACAGCTAGAAAATTAATGAACGTTACTTGGGAATTATTTCAAACTATTTGGATCAGAACAAACACAATTGTTTATTACATATATATAATATTGTCCCTTTGTTTTTTTGTGGGTAGAAGTTAAATCTATATATATATATGTATGTATGTATGTATGTATGAGCAGACCTAATCTAATTAAAAGAAGTTGTGATCTGTACTCCTTGGTGGAAAATTATATTTTAAATGTTTGATTCAACTTGAAGACTCAGAGATGTCTTGATTTGAAAAGTTAATAGATTGAAATATACAAAGCTTATATGGGTATTCATATTAATGGAAGCTACAATAATTTTAACTATTAAACTATTATTGTATTAATGAATATTATTATTATTATTATTATAAACAAATAATTTATTACTTTTAAATATTGTAATTTCACTCAACTGCCAACGCCTAAAAGAGAAAGTAAAAACCCAGAAAGAAAATAATAATTCAAGATATCCCAATATACCATCTTTCCATATTTGCATGGACACAGTTACAGAAAAATCATCAGAATTATAAACATTAACCCATGAATATAAAATCCAAAATTCATATGTCCATTGGGCAATCAATGCAGTTGCATGCCTATCATGTATAACTTGTAAATTAATAATAATAATATATATATACACACACACACACACTTATAACTATACAACTATAGCACCTAAAGTCCACCAAATTCAAAGTGCTCCTCAGGTAGCTAGCTGCCAAATCCAGCGTCTACATTTACTCCATCATACAAATAATATAACATGTCCTAATTTGTAACGTGGACCATCAGTATTAATTTTCGCTACATGTTTTGCATGGTGGCGGTGATTTACACACTATATTAAAAATTAGAACGTGGCGGCTTGAGAATCTAATTAGTACAAACATATCTATTTGGATGGGCAAAAAAATAAAAACCATTTTTTAAAAAATTTAACTTTTGTTTTTCTTTTGTCAAATTATTATTTTTTATTCACTTAAATCATAAAATAATAGTGCAAGTAATGTGGGAATTAAATTTATTATTTGTTTGTAAAAATAAAACAGAGAAAAAGGACAATAACTTATTATGGTCGTGGCCACTTTTATTTTATTCTAGTAGTAGAAAAATAATTTTTTGTGATTATTTGAATTAATAAAATTTAATTATTATAAAATATTTTTTTATTTAAAATATAATAAATTTATTCAGATCTAATTTAAATTAATTATTATTAATTAATATATGTGTTAATAAATTAAAATTTTAATTTTATTAAATTAATTATTTTTATTTCATAATATATTTATAAAATAATAAATTTAATAAATAAAATATAAAAATTTTACCTGCTATATATTATTAATAACTGTTGGTGTTGTGACATAACCGCATACATATTGACATCTTTAATAAATTGACGTATCAATCGATGGTAGTACATGGAGAGATGGGTCCACTTTGGAATATTCTGGATTCCAAGGGTATATGTTTAAATTATTTATTTTTTATATTTGGTAAGGTTTGTGTTAATAATGCCAGTAATAATATAATTATCTTGTTGTCCAAAGGATATTCTGTGATTGTTTAAGTTATCTTCCAGGGAAGAGAAAGGTTCACAAATGAAGATATTCTGATCCCTTGGAATCTTGCCTCCTCCAAGATTCCACTCTCAGATTAATTAAATCAAAGGTGGAGATTAAGTACATAAACTGGGTCCCACCCAGAAATCGTACATCCGATCGTGTGGGATGACATTCTTCCTCTTCCCAACATCAGATGTAATACTCAGTAATTAATTTTAAATTTTTTTAAAATTAATGTATAAAATATAATTTTTTTAATTTATAAATTTTATTTAATGTAAAAATTAAGAAAAATAAGTGGATGATGAAATTGAAAATAATTTAAAAAAAAAGAATAAAAATTTAGATTATCAGAGTATTTTTGAAAGAAAAATCAGAAACTGTAGATCAAAACGTAGTTTAAAAAAAATATGACACGTAGGACCACCTAATCAGTAGCCCCGACGAACTGGAGCGCATCGCGTGGAAGGCACGCTGACGCGTTGTCATACGGGAGGCCACGCTAGCAATCCGCATGCCAGCGATCGGACGGTCCGAAATTGTTCTCATGCGCGTGGACGGTCCAGATCCATTTTCTCATCAGGCGTGATCGTACAATCTAGATCAAATCGTGATGAACGGTTCAGATTTATTTTCTATTTAAATGCGATCGAACGGTCGAGATCAAAAGCGATAGACAGTCCAGATTTAAGAGAGACGGATGTAAATACCTCACTTCACTCCGAACCCTAACCCTAACTGCCAGCCCCCCGCCAGAGAAAAAAAATTAGTCGCCAGGAGAGAGAGCCGACGGCCACCCAGCCCCATGCCAAAGCCACATCCGAGAGCTAAAAGAGGTAAAAAAAATTTCATTCACTTGA